AAAAAAAAAAAAAAAAATCTGTAATAAACTATCTTCTACTACAACTAAAAGATCCAGAAAGAGAACTATAAGAAAATCCCATGTAATTAGAAGCAAGGAAATAATGAAGATTAGATGGGAAATAAATGACATAGAGACTTAACAAAAAAAACACACCAAACAATACAAAAGATCACTAAAACCAAGAGCTGGTTCTTTGAAAAATAAGCAAGATTAATGAACCACTAGCCAGACTCATCAAGAAACAGAGACAACCCAAATAAATAAATCGGAGGTGAAAGAGGTGAAGCAACAACTGACACCACAGAAATACAAAAGATTGTAAAAAAATACTATGAACAACTCTGTGCCAATAAATTGTACAACCTGAGTGCAATGGACAAATTGCTAGAATCTCAATCAGAAAGAATCTAAAAACCAGAACAAGCCAATAACAACTAATGAAGCTAATAACAACCTATGAAATTGAAGCAGTAATTAAAAAACTCCCAGCAAACAAAAATCCTGGACTGGGTGGATGTACAGGTGAATTTTACCAAGTCAAAGAAGAATTAAGATCTATCCTCCTCAAACTATTCCAAAAAATTCAAGAGGAAGGAAGACTTCCAAGCTATTTTAATGAAGCTAGCAATATTCTAATTCCAAAACCAGACAAAGACACTACAAGGAAAGAAAATAACAGGCCAATATCCCTGATGAACACAGATGCTAAAATGCTTAACAAAATATTAACAAATCAAATGCAATATATTAAAAAGATCATATACTATGGCCACATGGGTTCTATTCCAGGGACGCAAGGCTGATACAATATTCACAAATCAATAAATGGGATACACCACATAAAAAAAAATGAAGGTTAAAAATCACATGATCATATCAATAGACACAGAAAAAGCATTTGATAAAATCCATTACCCAATTTTCCTAAAACTCTCAGCAAGTGGGAATAGAGAAAACATATCTCAACATAAAAGGCCATATATGTGACACATTTAAAACCAACATCATATTCCATGCCCAAAAACAAAAAGTGTTTTCCTTAAGAATAGGAACAAGACAGGGAAGTCAGCTTTCACCACTCTTACTCAGCATAGTACTGGAAGTCGTAAGCACAGCGATTAGACTAGAAGAAAAAATGAAAAGCATCAAGTTGGAAAGGAGGAGGTAAAATTTTCATTCCTTGCAGATGGCATGATATTGTACATAGAAAACCCTAAAGATTATACCGAAAAACTACTAGATTTATAAATGAATTAGGAAAAGTAGCAGGACATAAAATTAACATATGAAAATCAATAGCATTTTTATACACCAATAATGAACTTCCAGAAAAACTTAGAAAACAATCTAATTTACCATTCTAACAACAGCAACCTAAAAGATATCCTGGAGCCCTAACTGGTTTGGCTCAGTGGATAGAGCGTCAGCCTGCGGACTGAAAGTTCCCAGGTTCGATTCCGGCCAAGGGCATGTACCTTGGTTGCGGGCACATCCCCAGTAGGAGGTGTGCAGAAGGCAGCTGATTGATGTTTCTCTCTCATCGATGTTTTTAACTCTCTATCCCTTTCCCTTCCTCTCTGTAAAATCAATAAAAATATATTTAAAAAACAACA